TCACCGGCTTCTTATCTTCCTCATCGAACTCCCTGGGACTCTTGCGTACTTGCTGGCCATCTATTGTGTTCATTGGGACATAGTTGCCGTGTTCTATTACGTCCCACAAACCATACTCTGTGGCCTTGATGAAGATTTTCATCCTCATTTTCCAGAAGGTATAATTTTCTCCACTGAAGCCTGGCGGTTTAGATGTTGAACATCCTTCGGGTAGCACGCTATCTCCAAATCCTGCCATTAGATCTCTCTTCGGACTGTTAAATCCTTAGTGAAGAGACCTGCTCTGATACCAAATGTTAGAAACAATCTCACCCAAGAGGGGGGTGAATTGGGTGAGTTACAAAAATTTTAAATTAAATGCGTGACAGTATTGAATAAAAACAGAGAGTTAGAGTCAGGAGAAATTTCACCGCAGAGGGAAGACACAAGATTTATACTGGTTCGGTCTTAACCACTTGACCTACTTCCAGTCCCCAGAACACCTCTGAGTATTTCACTATCTTCCAAGATCGACAGGGCTCTTGGTGCCTCGGTACAGTAATTGAATCGCTCAATCACTCCCCCTTACTCCCGTAAGGATACAAGCCCTCTCAAGAGTCCACACTCTTGAGTATCACTCAAGTATTTAATAAGAGTAGTAATTGGCTCTCTTACAGAGTGAATTTAATGATGAACACTGATGCTCAGTAGTAACGCGGAAAACAGAGTATTGAATGCTAGACTTAATAATCACAGGTGGTAGTTCCGGTATTCAATCTCTTCATTAATGCTTCTTCGCGCCTTTTATAGTTGATATCGTTAAGTAGCCGTTAGACGGAAGAGCTTCTAGCCGTTGTGACTCCGTTTGCGTGTTTCGCTGGTTTCAACGGTTCCGCCATTAATGCGTCTGAGCTTCTGACACTGTAGGTTGCAGTCTACGTAATCCCGTTGAAGAGCCGTTGTATTCTTTTTCATTAATCTGCATATTTTAAGCTTTAAACAAATAAGAGTCTTGCGGTGAATACTTTAGTCATGAACTAAGAAGAGAAAACAAATTTATCATTCAAAGATTTGGGACGAAATGATTTATCTGTAAGAAGAGCAGAAAGACATTCTGGATATGTTTGATCGAAGAGATGATCGATTACTTGTTGATAGATCATGTTATCGATAAACAGAATGAAGACTTTTCGAATTAGTTCAACAATATTATCGATCAAGTGTTGGATCATTGACTTTAAGAATTATCATAGTAAACGGAAATCGTTCCATGATCGAACAAGTGATCGAACACTTGTTTGATCGAACAGATTATCGATAATTCAAATGTTATTGAAATGAAACTTCAGTCATTGATGATCGAACAACTTATCGATAAATGTATGATGGATAATGTTATCGATAAACCATGAGTATGAATATATTCAGTGAAAGACACAGACTATCTGAAGTGATCGAACAGGTGATCGATCAATGAATATTCGAACAAGTGATCGAATAAAGTGAGAAAAGAAATTTAATCCTGTAAGGTAAAGAAACTGATTATCGATCACGTTTTGTGAAAACATGAGTTTCAGGGAATTGAATGATCGATCATATTATCGAAAAGCCAATGATCGATTAGGTGATCGAAAATAGTTCAACATAAGTTAATGCGAATATAGCAATCCTTAGACTCTTTATCGATCATGTTATGTGAAAAGATATTTATGCAAACAAGTTAAATTATCGATAATGTTATCGATAATTTGGTTGCAGGAAAACTAAATAAGAGTAGATAAAGACATTGATTATCGATCATGTGATCGATAATTTTATGATCAATAAGGTTATCGATCCATCAGTAAAGATGATTACCTGCATTCAGAGAGTTAGAGCATAATGTTCGAACATGTGATCGATAAACAAATGATCGAGAATATGATCGATAAATTGGTAACAGAATTAATGTGCAGAACAAGTAGATTGTGTTACCTTTTATCGAAGTCGTTATTGATAACTGATTTATCGATCATGTGATCGATAAATACACTTCAGATTTGGTTCTCTTTATCAGTAACTCGATTGTTTATCTGATATTATCGATCAGTTGATCGATAATTAACCATAATCTTGCGTGATTTCCACGTTAGCGATAATCGATCATTTTATCGATTAACTACTTATCGAATAGTTCTTCGATCAAAATACCTACTATAAACCTGATTTACACTTGAACAATTATCTGTAACCTTAGCGATAAACGATTGATCGATCAGTTGATCGATCAAAATACTTAACCCAAATTATCTGACTTTGTTATCATCAAAACTATAATCCTAACATAATTTGTTAATTAACATTACATATACTATTTTCAAAAAATAGCCCGACGTCCTTCAAATTTATACATATGCATACCAATTCCTAAACAAAATTAGGATGTATAATCTTAGTATAATATTTATATTTTTCTCAAGTTCAACTTCAATATTTTGTTATCTTCAATATATTTTATTTATGCTCTATTATTTCATTATTTATTTATTTATTTTTATTAATTTATATCTATAGTGATTGTTACATTTATATTGCGTATTAATATTTATTTATTTGTTAAAGTTTTAATAATATTATTATTCTGTAACGTTAAAAAGTATTTTTCATTTATAACATTTTGTTCTTATTTAAAAAAACTATTTCTTTATTTAATAATGTCATATTCTTTCATTAAGGATAATGTGGTCAAATAGTGTAATTTTCCGACCTATTTTCATCAAACCAAGCATAAATTTTCTATTGAAACCATTTTTAATTCTAATGTCAACCAAACACTCATTTGGCCGAAAATTTTTCATTCTCTTTTTTTCAATTCTTTTCCATTCGTTTCTATTTCAATAAATTCTTTGATTTCTAACTAACACTCATTATCCTTCGTGAGGTGTGAAACTTGCAATTTCATACTTTAAAAATAATTCAAGAGACCAACAGATTTGTCCCTTAAAATTTTGGTTGCAACTCCAAGTTGTATTTAATTTTTCACTTTGAAAAATAAGTTTCAGATGCGACACGAGAGAACTCCCATAAAAATGCAGAGATACATAAAGCCATTGTAAAACTTAAAAATAACTAAATAAATTTTTTTTAATAAACGGAAATATAGGAAAATATGAAAGTTTCTTTCGTTCTATCTGTAACCATCGAATCCTCTCTGGACTTGCACTTCATATTATCTTCCATGGATAAGCTGTATCCAAGTTTCTGCAAAATGTTATTCCCTGAAGACAAACCTGAAATGGTTGGAAGCAGTTTGAAGTGGATAATTCATTCCAAAGAAGATGAAGGTTGTTGTTGATTATTGGAATTAGCAAACTTAATGACATGTCTTCTAGGTTTGAGCATTTTTAATATTGTGTTAACTGATGAACTTGGAATTATGCCAATTCAATGGAAATATGGGATTCATATGAGAATATTAATTATGCATCATGTGCCTAGCGTGGAGGGGTTATGAAAACTGGATTGATAGCGCAAGCGTCTTTCTGAATTGTGAAGAATGGAATTCTAAAAGTGAAGTCTTTATGAGTATCTTTTTTGAGCATCCTTTGAATATTCTAAATATTGTACTTTTCTGGTCCTAAATATAAAACATATTTTAATAATAATAACAATGCATGATAGCTCATAACTGAAAGAAAATAGTCAAGTCACAGTTTTGTGGGGCAGGATAATTTTGCTGGCACTCTTTTTAATAATTTAGACTATCCAACTTAGTTTTGCATGGTCCCAATTTAAATTAATTTTTTATATATTTTAAATAATTGTGTATTTAATACATACATAATTTAAATAAAAATAATTTTATAAATAACATTAATTTAAAAAATAAATTGATCATTAAAAAATTTGTATACTAAAAATTTTAAATCTCAACCATCTATATTGAATTTTAAATGGTTTAGATTGTGTTACAATAATAAGCACAACATAGCAATGATCATTGAATGAGGATTTGTCAACGGAAAGCACATAATGGCAGCACAATTTAGCACATGTTTGGATTCATATTTTCAATAGAAAACGTGCAGCAGGTGGAGATTTGAACAAATGTCTAGGTCAGTGTTTTCTCATATGAGCTTATGGGCAATTTTCAGATAAGCTTACGGGTAAAAAACTATGTCAACGCAGAAGTCAATTTGAGGAGCTTTAGCCATCATAACATGGAGAGAGAAAAGATGGCAATGAAAAAAAAAAAACAAAATTACTCCTAACAAACCCAATAATTTGATACTCTTCCAGTCCTAAATATAAGATCTATTTTATAGTGTAAATTACATTATATAATGGATATTACATTTAAGACCGGAAGAATACTACATATTCTTAATATAATATCTAGATAACTAATTTGAGAATATTAAGAAAATTTATTTAGTTATCTGTAATAAATTGATATTGTCTTATCTAAAATATTCTCATTAATCATGTACATTAATATTGTTCATTAATGAAAACTCCTTAATATGTATAATTATTACACAAATTACTTGGGGACAAAATAAATAAATATTAAAGACAAAATAAACCAAGATCTATTTAGTATTTTCCAATTTTCTCAATAATATATCAACTATTTTTATAATTTTAATTTTAATATTTCTCTTAACATCATCACATTATATACAAAATGATTTAACAAAATATATATTCTTTTCAGTTATTTTACATATAAATTTATTTTTATACTCGATTCAAACAAGTTTCAGTTTGTTAATCTAACTTTTACCCTAACTTATATTTACAAAAATTTGATAAAATAACTTTTACCCTAACTCATGTTTATAAAAGTTTGATAAAATAAAATTCACTTTTACTACTACTAATTCAAACACATCTTAAACCTTGAGTTTGCAACTTTATTAGACTTTTAGAGTCCATTTGGAATAAGTTTTGTCTCGATTTATATAAAACTTATAATTATGTTTGAACGCTATCCTAATCAGGGGCTTAATCATATAACAGCACATCATGCACAGAAAATAGAAAGCCAATGAAGAAATCAGATTTGAGATCATCTGAAACCTTTTGTAAAGTGTGTGTTTCAAAACTGACCTAAAATAAAATTCAGAATCAATAGGTAAATCCTAATCACAGCCCCGAAAAGGAGCAGAGAGTCATATCAAGTTATTGATCTACAACATGATTTGCATGGTGATGCAGGCTGCAAATACAAGAATGCCAAGAGGCGTGAGTCCAAGATAGAAACTTCCACAAAAGCGACAGAAATAAACAAGGAACAAAAAACCGGACCGGGAACTAAACCGGTCCAGACAGTGGGTTAAGGGTCATTGGTCGAACCGAGGTCGGACCGGGGTTGGACCGGTCATATTAAAATAATAAAATTTAATTGACAACATTAAGATAGAACAAAATCCACAAATAATAATCACTGAGAAAAATATAAGAAGCTAACAAAGTAGTTTAAATGTTTAATTATACCAAATGAACATTAATAAAATACATATCTTAAAAATTAATTTTTTATCTTTTATAATTTTATCATAATATCAAATTTAAAATTTTTTTGAATTAATTCAATTCAGACTTTTTTTTGGTACAATTCAATTCAAACTTAATACAACACTTTACCAACACTTTGAAGTAAATGGAAATTGTAGTTAATCACCAAATATGCAATTCAGCAATTGCACGAGTTTTACCATGGAAACAAGACAGCAGATGTTCACCCACAAGCTGAATATTCACTAGTTTTTATCTTTTATAATTTTATCATAATATACCTCAACGCACAGACCAAAGGTGAAGCTTCCGTGAACGAAGGCGAAGCAGAACATCCTTGAAGCATAACGCCAGTGAGCTGCGACTTGCGATCTGAGTTGCGACTTGCGATCTGAGCTGCGACTTGCAATCTAAGCTGCGACAGGGAAGCACGATGCTAGTGAACGGCAAAGGCGAAGCAGGAGATCTGTCGGTGAATGGCCCAACTAGGAGGTCCGCCGTCAGTGAAGGTATGGATTCCGGTGGAGGGAAAGGTTGGAATCTGGGAGAAGGAGCAAGGCGATTCTGCGATTTGGGGGAGGAGATTTTCAGATTTAGGAAGATAAGAAGATCGAAGGCGAAGTTGGTTAGCTAGATGAGAGTGAGGGCCGAAGGAGATTTTCATTGAGAGTTTTTTTTTTTAACAAAACGACGGGTTCAGTAAAAAAAAAGTGAACCGGGTAACCGGTGGTTACCGGTTCAGCACCGGTTTTGACTGGTTGAACCGGTTTTCTACCGGTTCAACTGTGGTCCGGTTTTTTAGGTGAACCAGACCGGACTGGTGACCGGTTCACCGGTTTTCCGGTTGAACCGGCCGGTCCGGTCCGGTTTTTTTTTCCTTGGAAATAAATCTTCTTAATGCAATTTCAGGTCAACGCATAAATTCAGCTATCGCCATTCCCCGAGTCCTCAGATTTCCCCATGGCCTCCATTATAGAGATATAGGTGCTGTCACCAGGAGTGATGCCATTACGCACCATTTCCTTGAGGAGTTCTTCGGCATGCACTCCTTCTTGGTTTTTGCATAAGCCTTGAATAAGAGCATTATAAGTGAGGAGGGTGGGATTAAATCCTTTACTCAACATTTCATCACGAACTTTAAAAGCATCCTTCATATCACCTCTTTTGCTGTAACCACTAATAAGTGTATTATAACTGATATGATCAGGCTTTATTCCCCTTCTTTTCATCTCGTCAAGAAGTTGGCGAGCTTCTTCCACCTTCCCCTGCCTACAGTATCCTTGCATCAAGGTATTATAAGTAACTTCATCAGGAAGAACCTTCATCTTATCCATCTCTTCCACCACGGAATATGCACGTTCTATATTACCATTTGCACAGTGACCATCAATTAATGCATTGAACATAATTAAATCTGGCCATAGACCTCTTTGTTGCATTGTCTTAAACAAGTTGTCTGCCTCTGTCATTCTGTTCTTTTTACCCAAAACAAAAATGAGTGATGTATATGTTACCTGGGTTGGTTGAATCCCTGCTTTTATCATTTCATCATAACAGTTGAAAGCTTTCTCCACATTCCCACATCTGCAGTACCCATTAATCAATATGTTATACGTAACAGCATCTGGATGGATGCCTTTTTCTCTCATTTCTTTTATCACATCATTAGCTTCATCCATTCTTCCTTCCATAAATAGTGCATGAATTAATAAATTATAGGTCACCAAAGATGCATTTATACCTCTACTAACCATCTCATCCCTGTAGGCAATAGCTTTATCTAGATCTCCTTTATTGCAGTATCCATCAATCAATGCATTATATGCTACAGCATCGGGGACCAACATGCTCTTGAGTAACTCAGATGCCTCCTCAAGCCTTCCTGCTTTACACATCGCAGCAATAAAAGCATTATATGTATATCCATCAGGCTCAATGCCTTTATCTTTCATATCTTTGAAGATGCCTCGAGCCACATCAACCTTCCCTCTCATGCAATATGCATGTATAACTGTATTATAAGTAACAGTATTAGGCTTGACCCTTAAAGTCTCCATATAACCAATAAATTCTTTTGCCTTTGTCAACTTCCCTTCTTTACACAAAACATTAATCATTATATTATAAGTACGCACACTGGATTTGACCTTCAATCTAAACATTTCTGCATACAAAACCCATGCCATGTCTGCTCTATTTAGCTTCAACAACAGACTTAACATCATATTACAGGTCTCAGTTTTGGGCAAGACCCCCTTTTCTTTCATCATGTAGAAACACGCCAATACCTCATTAGCTTTCTTCAACTCACAATATGCCATCACGAGATAATCAAATACAATACTACTCTTCATATTGAATTTGCTATGGAGAAGAGCCAACTCATCAAAAATCATCCTGTTGGTGGCAATACCACGGGTAATTAATTTCCTCAAGCATTCTATAGCAGGTTTTGGGGATGAAAGGCGGGAAATGATAGCAATTGCAAGGCAATGAGTTTTGAAATCCAAGGAGTGAGATTGAAGTTGGGTTAAAAGTTGAAGAACAAGCTGAGGATTCTGGTAAAGGCGGGTTAGAATTGGACAGATGACAGAAGGAGTCAAACTGGGAGCAACCTGCTTGATAAAATGCCAATGAGAAGATTTGATTGAATCTAGAAGTAGAGATTCAGAGATTGGTGAAGGAGTTGATGGGTTATTGAAAACAGTTGCCTGGGATTGAGAGTGGGGTTTTAAGCGAGGCGTAGTGGAAAAATAAGCATGGGGCAGAAGATGGTTTGTGCACAAAAGGGTCTTAAACTTGTGGCGTTTGAGAGATTTGAGATTGAAGAATTTCAGAAGCTGCATAGTGAAAGGAATATAAAAAATTATGTCACTTGATGCAGTAGCATGAATTGCAGTGAGAAGTGGCCAGAGGTGGAGAAAAAGCAGCCAGAGGTGAAGGAGTCTGGTTCCCCTGAGCGTCCTTTCTTTTTAGGTCAGCTTCTAATCTTGCATACGTTTTCCTACTCACAAATTCATGCAAATTTCCCCAAGACACAGTCTCACAATAGACTCTAAGCAACACATTCAAAGATTCAAGCTTATGTCCAATAACGTCACCACAAAAGCCTGCCAATTACAAATCTTAGGAACGTTGAACCACCATCTTTTCCAGTCAACTAATTATGCAGTGTTTTACTGTCTTATGGTGATCTGATATCGAGTTTTTTTGACCTGCCAATGAAGAACATGAACCAAAAAGATGGAGGAAGAACACAAATGAAGAAGACGGGGAAAGATAAGTACTTCACCTGCTCTCCATAGCTGGATGAAGAAGAATGCCCAAGTCTCACGCCCCAAAAATTACGTAGTCGGCATGAAATATGAGAAAACCCGTGTTCCTCAAGCCTAGAATATATAAAATTTCTCACATATCAACTGTGGGCACAAAAACTATATTGAGAATAAAGCCATCATATATATATATATATATATATATTTTTAACAAAATTAGAAGGCTCTCTTTCGACAGAGTCTCTCCAGTAAATAGGAACTTCACAAATTTCTACAAAACATTATGGCAATATTTAGACAAAAAGGAGCTCCCCTCGGTGCCAACTGCTATGCAAGTCACAATTCAGGCAAGGGTCCTATCTTTAATCTACATGGAGCACCTAAAGCGAGAGTTGCAAATATAAATAAGAGATTAAAGTTTTACATTCCATCGTGAGTAGTCACAGCAAATGTTTAAGCTTCAATAGCCCTTCATCAACAAGCTGAACGTGCATAGTATGCTCTATGTTATCTGAGACCAAAAACGTTCACCAGTGAATAACATTCCAATTTAAATTTAAAGAGATAAAAATAGAGGAATAATAGTATTGCTGTTGCAAAATTTAATAAAATAAGATAACAAAAATATATGCTTCATGACTCAAATAACTCCATGAGAACATTTAATCTGTAAACATAATAATTTGCAAGATAATTACGTTTAGCTTCAAAACCATAACTCTGCAGAACAATTAAAAGTTATATGAATCCTCGAACAAATAAAACCAAGTAGTTTGTTAAACCGTATCAGTTTGAGAACAGTAAATCTCGAAAATCTCATTCTTTCATAAGACTTCATCAGAACGGATAACAAACGTGGTCAAAGCCACAACTGTGGACACATGTTATGAAATTTGAGAAAGAAGAGGAAAGAGAGAGAAAGAGTAGGAGAAACAGAGAGAGACGGGAGAGAGGGAGTCGAGAGATACTAAGAATTCAGAATAGATTCAATATTCACTGGAAAACAATCATCACACATACAATTGATTTGGGAACCCCTTTATATAGGTTAGCTCCCAACAGCTAGTTCCGTACGGAATCATTAAACTACCTAAAATCAACTAACTGAACTAACTAACGGTAACTAACTACTTCTTATATTTTTAATATAACAATGCCCCCCCTTCAAAAGATCCTTGCCCTCAAGGATCAATAATCTGGAAATATGGAAATTGGATCTGCAAACTGAATAATGATACCCAAGTTGCCTCTTCATCAGGAAGTCCCTTCCATTGAACTAGAACTTCCGTAATAATCCTTCTTTTCTTTCTGCCAACCCTTTTGTTCAATATTTTTTCTGGATACAAAGTGGTAGGGACTGCTGGCCAGTCAATAGGTGGGTGTCTCTGCTTAACACTTGGATCTGGACAAAGTTTAAGCATTGAGACATGGAATGTAGGATGAATTCTGGATTCAGAGGGTAGTTCACAGCACCAACCTTTTTCAAAATTCTGTAGGGACCAAAGAATCTAGGAGCTAGTTTGTGAGAGCTCCTAGTTGCAGCTGAAATCTGCCTATAAGGTTGCAATTTAAGAAAAACCCATTGGCCTTCTTGAAACTCCCTATCTGAATGCTTTAAGTCTGCCCTTTGCTTCATAGTATTAGCAGCCTTGTGTAGGTGATGCTTTAGGACAGCTACCATTCTTTCTCTAGCTTCAAAACTTCTGTCAATAGCTTCGACCACAGCAGATCTAGGGATGTAGGGAATGTAAATTGGAGGTTTCTGCCCATACAACAATTCATGTGGTGTAATTTTAGTAGAAGTGTGAAAATTAGTGTTGTACCACCATTCTGCTAAAGATACCCAAGAACTCCACTCCTTAGGGCTTTCCCAATACATACAACGTAAATAGGCCTCTAAGCATCTGTTTAAGACCTCTGTTTGACCATTACTTTGAGGATGGTAGGCTGATGTAAACTTTTGCTCCACCTTTAAGACCTTAAGGAATTCTTTCCAAAAGTTGCTGATGAAAATTAGATCCCTATCACTTATGATTTCAACCGGGGCTCCATGTAACTTATACACTTGGTCTAAGAAACATTGAGCAAGGGTAGATGTTGTATAGGGATGAGAGAGGGGAATAAAATGGGCACATTTAGTCATTCTGTCCACTATAACCCAAATAACTTCCTTATTTCCAGATTTAGGTAGACCCTCAATGAAATCTATTGAAACACTTTCCCAAACCTTGCTAGGGACAGGTAGGGGCTGCAATAAACTAGGAGATGCAATAGTCTCATATTTACAGCGAGCACAAGTATCACAACCCTTAACAAAGTCCTGCACATCCCTATGCAGATGTTTCCACCAAAACAGTCCCTTAACTCTTTGATAGGTGGCTTGAATTCCTAAATGACCACCTTGTGGACTAGCATGAAGCCATTCCAATAATTTCTGCCTTAATGAAACATCATTTCCTATTGGAAGTTTGTCTTTTCTCCTTAAGTAAGAGCCATCCCACGTGTATTTTCCAAGAGCAGACCCCTTCCTCTCAATTTCAAAAATAATGGCAGCCAAATCAGCATCATCCTTCCAACTTTCTTGAATCTGATTCATTCATTCTGGAGAAGTAGTGTCAAGGGACATTTGTAATAGCTGTTAACTAGGTACTCTTGACAATGCATTAGCTACCGAGTTATTATTTCCCTTCTTGTACTGAATCTCATAATCATACCCCATCAATTTAGCTATCCAGTACATTTGACAAGGGGTCTTTAGCTTCTATCCAAGCAAATATTTGAGACTTTACTGGTCTGTTCTGATTACAAATCTGGTCCTTTCTAGATATTGGTGCCAATGTTCCACTGCTTGCACCACTGCCAGCAATTCCTTCTCATAGATAAAAAGACTTAAATGCTTGGGAGCCAAAGCTTTGCTGAAAAAAGCTATTGGTTGGCCTTGCTGCATAAGAACAGCACCTATACCCAAGCCACATGCATCAGTTTCAACAATAAATTGCTTAGAAAAGTCTGGTAGAGCAAGAAAGGGGCTGTAACTAGGGCATTTTTCAGCTTATTGAAAGCTGTAGTGGCAGATTCATCCCACTTAAACCCATTTTTCTTGAGAAGTTGAGTTAGGGGCTTAGCCAACCCTCCATACCCCTTAATAAATTGCCTATAATAGCCAGCCAAGCCTAGGAAAGCCCTTAGTTGCTTAATAGACTGAGGAATAGGCCAATCAGCAACTGCTTGAATTTTTTTTAGGGTCTGTAGAAACTCTTCCATTGCTTATAATGTGTCCCAAGTACTCAATATTCTTGGCAGCAAAAGGTGCACTTAGATTTCTTCACAAAATAGTGGTGTTCCCTTAAGATTTTGAAGACTTGAATCAGGTGCTCCACATGATCTGTCAAGGAAGAACTATACATCTACTTATCATAAAAAAAAAAAAAACCAAAATAAACTTTCTTAAAAATGGTTTAAAAATATTGTTCATAGCTCCCTGAAAAGTTGTAGGGGCATTAGTCAACCCGAATGGCATTACTAGCCACTCATAATGCCCTGCATGAGTTTTAAAAGCAGTTTTCTCCACATCTTCAGGTACCATTCTGATTTGGCAGTACCCAGCTCTTAAAATCCAGTTTAGTGAACCACTTGGCAGCCTGTAATTCATCAAGTAAATCCTCAATGAGAGAAATTGGGTACTGATTTTTTATAGTTTTCTTGTTCAGCTCCCTATAGTCAATGCACATCCTCTATGTGCCATCTTTTTTCTTAACCAAAACAATGGGTGCTGGAAATGTTGAGGAGCTGTCTTGTATAACCCCATTCTGCAACAGTTCCCCAACTAATTTTTCAATGACATCCTTTTGGGCTGAAGGGTATCTATAAGGTTTTAAGCTTATAGGGTCAGCTCCTTTCTGTAAAACAATGGGGTGATTGTGACCCTTTCTCAATGGAGGGAGACCTTTTGGCTTCTCAAATAGGTCAGCAAAATCATTTAGAGCCTCTTATACTTCCTGTGGGACCCCTTCTGCTACATCTTGAATTGAAAGACACTGTTGCAATTGCTGTCCCTGTGGTTGCAGCAAGTGAATCAAGAACATATGTTGCTCTTGATCCTTCTTGTAACCCAGCTTCTTAGGTGGCACTATCATCATTGAATTAGGAGGGGTAGCTTGAAGTTTGCATAGCTGCCCATTGTGCCAGAAATGCATAGTGAGGGTCTCATACTCCCAAAAAGCACTCTTAATAGTCTTAAGCCACTTTAGACCCAAAACAATATCATTGGTTTGTAGTTCTATGATTCTCAAATCACATGTAAAGTCCATGCCCTGCATACGCCATCTAAAACCATGCCAAATCCCATGCACCTTCAATCTTCTACCTCCTACAACTTGAACAAAGGAAAAATCATTACCACTTTCTTTCCACCCTAATTTTTGAGCAAGGTTAAAATCTAGGAAATCATGAGTACTTCCATTATCAATTAGAACTTGAATACTCCTTTTGCCCACAAATCCTTGAATCCTCATAGCATCCATGCTATCAATCCCTTTAATTGCATGGAGGGATATGAGTGGCATAGAATCATCATCTTCCTTTGGTTCATTTTCTTCATAACCACTGGTCTCCATTGGTTCTTCCAGCTCAATGAAATGGAGCTGCATTTTCTGTCGTTGAGGACATTTATGGTCCCTTGAGAATTTCTCATGGCAGTAGAAACATAGGTTCTTAGCCCTATGATCAGCTTCTTCTTCAGCCGTGAGGATCTTGGAATTCTTGTAAAAATTCTTGGAAGTGCCGTTAGTGTTCTTCTGCACAGCAATAGCTAGCTTATCCTTTTTCTGGGTGTTGCCATTGAGTAATGCATTCTTATACGGTGCTGGGTTTGCAAGAGAGATGTTGGACACTGATGAACCAGGGGCTACATATCTGGCTCCTCTTTCCCCAGTTTTCTTCTCCCTAATTTGGTCATTTGTAATTTCCTGCATTCAGGCAAGGCTTTTGGCCTCTCTGATCGTTCTGGGCCTAAACATTCTAACAAGTCCAGATATTTCTTCCCGTATCAAAGACAGATACGCGTCAACCAGCAGGTCTTCGGCCAAATCAAATTTCGAAGAGTAGAGATCGAACTTCACATTAAATTCTGCAAGAGTGCCCAGCTGTCGCAAACGAAGAGAGACTCATACATGGGACCGAAACAATCCTTCAACTCCACGATGTAATCTTCCCAAGCTGGCAAAGCTCCTCACCACCTCTGTTCGCACGCAATATGCCATCGAAATGCGTCTTCATCGAGGTGTAGGCTCGCCATTTTTACTTTCGCATCCTCGGGAGTGTTATCCAATTCGAAATACTGTTCATAGCGCAAGACCTAGGCGATGACATCTTGATGAGAGAATTTTGGGAAATCCATTCGAGTGAACTGCATCTGTCGAGGTTGCATAGCATCGTGGTTTCACATTTCTTGTTTTCGATTCAAGATTCTGGGTTGCTCACGATTGTCATTCTGGGTCGCCGCCAACAGTCGAACGTCCTCCATGCTTCGCGCCAGAACCTAAAGCTGATCGGTGACTCCATTAACCGTTTCCTGTAACATCGAGACGGAGCCCAGTTGATCTTCGATCACTTGTAAGCGTTCGTCTAATGCTCTGTTGCTTACCATCGTTCTAGTTTCTAGCATATGGGTATGGAGTCGCAATGAGTAGGCCGAGAATCAGAGGCTCTGAATACCAATTGTTATGAAATTTGAGAAAGAAGAGGAAAGAGAGAAAGAGTAGGAGAAACAGAGAGAGACGAGAGAGAGGGGAGTCGAGAGATACTGAGAATTCAGAATAGATTCAATATTCACTAGAAAACAATCATCACACATACAATTGATTTAGGAACCCGTTTATATAGGTTAGCTCCCAACGGCTAGTTCTATACGAAATCATTAAACTACTTGAAATCAACTAACTAATTGTAACTAACTACTTATATTTTTAATATAACAACACACAATTCACAAGGGTAAGTAACCGATCAAGCATGACTAAAGCAAAGAATACAAGCATGGGAACAATGCCCACAAATATCAAGCAAGCTCAATATTAACCATGTCACACCAATAAAAGCATGGGAACAATGCCCATGAATACAAGTGAAGTTGAAGCCACAAAACAAGCATAGGAATGATACCACAAATATCAAGTGAGTTTAATTTTAACCATGGTGCGCCAAGGGCTAAAAGTACTGCTGCTAGCAAGCAGGGCTTCAAATCAATCCTCTCAAAAACAATTCCAAGCATGCATGGGGTCAATTTATCAATAGCAAATAGAAAGATCTTCCTTTAATAGTGGTAGCTCATATAGAATTTTTTTTTCTTTCCAAATAATGGGAGACCCCAGCCTGAAGGTTCAAAAACAATATCTCAAAGCCTTCTTTCAAATTCTAACAACCAACAGAATCCTTCTCTAATAGAAGCCAACCTAAAAACATTTGAAAATATAAGACTATCTTAACATGAAAGTTTATGAAACATATATAAGGAAATTCGAATCAATTCTATGCATAGCCATGGATTATGTTATAGACCAATTGAAAAAAGAAATCAATAACAATAAATAAAATCGATGTCCCATGAAAACATTGAGTATATCTTTTAAAGGTGTCAAACCATTAAAATATCAATAAAATAAAAAATGAATATTGATAAGATTTAAACTAAATTGCCTTGATGTAACAATGCTTAAGAAATTTGGTGGTTATGGCAAGTAAAAAATATCACTTGTAATAATTCTTTTGGGACGCTATTCACTTACTAGTCTCAATGACTATAATTTATCCTATTAAATAACCTTCAGCTATGGTTCAACATTAGTCTCCTAGCAAACAAATATCATCATTGTCATTCCTATTGTAACATTATAGATATATATAATATCTTAATCAATAAAATTTCTCCATTTCCTTCACAAGAAACTTCTCTTAATTTTTCTTTTAACATGCAAACACATTCACAACCATCATACATAACATGTCAGTTTCCAACATTCAAAATATACTTTTAAATATACACACATCCACAACTCCATTTACAAGAATTTGAAAGCAAGACATAATTTCCTCAGCTTCTAATAGCACATGAAGCTTATCCTTGGTTCTAATCTAGTTCACTCTAATATATATAGTCATGCGTTAAACAATATCTTCCAAATTTCAACCCCAGGCATTATCATCAATATATTTTATATATCTTCCAGTATTCATACCTTTCTAACTTTAACAAAGGAATTGAACAACCATTACTCTTAAATTTCAGTCCTTAATACATTAAGCATACTTAACTATCCTATTCCAATCAAAATCCTCTCCTACACATTTCAACAAACACCTTGTCTGCATTCAAGACTAACTCGTAAGACAACACCTCAATACATAATACACCAACAATGCATTTCCAAAAATCTATATACATACATACACTTCCCAATTCCATTCTTACCAAGAATCACTTTAAAATTCAAGAAAAGCAGAACCTAAACCCATCTTCCTCTACAGCAACTAAGGTCATTAAAGTGAAGTTGCGTACCTAAAGTAAGCTTCTTGAACCTTGATTTTAGCTTGTTTAGAGTTCAATTTTCTTCTCTACTCTCACGCATAGTTGAAACAGAGGAAGGGGAAGATGTTTAACCCAACCTACACAAACCAAAGTAAGGAGGAAATTGCTCAAAGAACAAGAAAATTGAACCAGCAGCAAGGAAGAGGAATTTCATGCTTACAACACACACAATCGATGCCCCAGACAAGGAAAGAGAAGGGCCGAACTCTGCACCCACACCAACATAACACCGACTCTCAAAATAGGGGACGAAGAAGCTTGGTTGAGAAAGATGAACGACGGAGCAGCAAGGAGGACGATGACGGAGTATTACTCCAGCGCGCGCGCGCGCGCACAACGGCAATGAGGATCTCTTGAAAATCCTTAAAATTTAGGGTCTGGCATTCCTCCTCTGCCATAATGGTTTGCTGCCTCTCCCCTACTAGAAGCGCACCGTCTAGCGCGTAAAATGACCACACACTGCCATGCCAGAGGATAAAAATCAATGAAGCAACAAAAAATCAGGAAAAAGGTGGACATCGATTCTGGGTAAGCAACAAAAGAAATACTTCTAAATGGGAAAAAAAACATTTTTGGTCAAAAAAATGAAAGGAAAAAAAAGGACCCAGCCACAAATTTTAAGATACAAGTATTGGGACTCAACACTTTATACTCACGCTACTTCTTATTCTAAAAGACTATTAGTTAATTTACACATAATAATAAAAAGAATTAAATACATTAAATTTATCTTAAAATTTAATTTATTTTTAATAGGAAAAATGACAAAAAAAAGTTAAAAATTTGTAAATGCTAAATAAAGAATGTCAACAAAGATTTGAAATTTAGTAATTTTCAAAAAAAATTTTGTCATTCTCCCTTTTCAATGTCACTTTTATTAGTTATACAAAATTCTAACAGCATACGATTAATTTATACTCTCTCACTTCTTTTATTAAAGATGGACATACATTGGAAAAAATTTAATGCTCGCTGAAACTATCATAGTTTCTTATAAAAAGAGACTCTTTTTTTCCCCTCTAAAAGATGTCTTATAACAAGGACTAGAAGTTGTATGCACTATTTTTCTTTCTAAATATACCATTTCTATCAAAATTAAAAATATCAAATATTTCTTACCAAAATTCAAGATTTTTTTTTCCTAAGAAAGCATTCACTTTTCAGTTTTTCTTAATATATTTCAATGAGTAATTAGTAGATCAAGGATTTTTTTCCCCTGAAATCTTTCTTACATTTAGCCCTCATTAAATATGGGCATATTTTGAAAAGATCATTTATTAAAAAAAAGCTAAGAAATCATTAAATAAATGCGAAAATATCTGTTTGCAAAACGAATTGCTGTGAACCTCTCTCAACAACCAATAGTTTTTTCACCTCTCTTGAAATATGTTAAGAAAAACTGAAAAATGAAATGATTTTGAAATTTAGCAGGAAATATTTATATTTTTATTTTTGATAGAAACGCTATATTTAGAGATGAAAATAGTACATATAAAGTGTTGAGCCCCAATCCGAATAATTATTACTTGGATCTTAAAATTTGTGGCGGGGTCCTTTTTTTCCCCTCATTTTTTTCATTTAGAAATATTTCTTTTGTTCCTTATCAAGAATAGATGTCCACCTTTTTCCGGAATTTTTTTGGGTTCATTGACTTTAAGACCCTGGCGTTGTACAATTTTTTGGTTAAGTCCCATTTGTCATTTTACATGCGACACGATGCGCATCGGGTAGCGGAGAAGCAGCAAGGGGAAGCCAGGTCCTAAAACTTGAACCCTCTTCTTCTCCCCGCCCCCCTCTCTGCTTTTGAGCCAAACGGATGGTTTGCGCAGATTTTTTTTTTTTTTTAATGAAAATTTATGGGAAAAAGATAAGAACATGGGAAAGTGACCAGAAATTAACTGTTGAAATTTAAAATGACAAAAAAAGCATGCAAATAACTGAAATCACCAAATGGACCTAAGCTATGAATCTAGAATTATCACAATTTGGTATAAAGACTGAAACACCCCTGAACATGAGTTAAAGAGAGGACACGTAAAAGCTCCAGAAGAGAGAGAGAGAGTTGAGAAGAGGAAGCTTGGAGCAAGACTGGAAATCTGGAAAGAGGAAAAAGGTAAGTAATTTTTCTGTTAAAATGCTAGTATCGTACTCTTCAACTTGCAAACCTGATTTATTATGATAGATTTTGCTTGTGAGCATGTTGGTTTGTAGTAAGAAAGGGGTTGAACGTGGGTATTACGTAAGAGAGTCAAGGTTGATGATGGGTTTGGGTTCTTAACTTGCTTTGCTGTTACATGCTCGAATGGGGATAGGCTTGTGAGTGTAGAGGGTTTAGATGAAGAATTTGATCAGGATGAGAGAGTGACGCATCATAAATGGAAAAATGGCGGTAACTAATAACGTGGCCATGAAGTTTGAGGGCAAACAGTAAGTATGAGGTGGTCAATGTTGTTAAATTCATTAGTGGAATTGTTAAATCCTATATTTAAGATGTCAATGGAGGAAGTGGGTGTGTGCATTTTTTAGGTGTTTTGGAAGGTAAATAAAATTGATTATTGGGGAATTAAGTATTGATTTATGCTTCTTTGCTACAGGTTAGCAAGCTTTGATAACATCTAACATTGGGTTAACATCTTTAAAACGTCTTGCTTGTTATTTTCATGTGGGTGAAACTTTGCAGAAAATGGTAATGGTGAAGTACAATGGTGGAACTGTCAGGGTAAGAGTGATAAAGGAGGGTATAAGGCTTGAAGATTTAAGGGTTATGATAGGAGGATGGTTTAGTGTAGATAGTAATAGTTGTGAGATTAAATACACATTGGACTTTGATGATAGGATATTAATAGATCTCATTGATGATGAAGTTGACAACCTATTTGAGTATAATGACAGTAATGCACATGTTTACATAGTAGCTTAAGGTAATAAGAATGCAGAGGAAGAAGTGGCTAATCCAGACAGGCAAGTCACAAATTTTTGGTTACAAAAGTTGTTAATTGTTATAATGTTGTTGTCAATCTATTAACAAATGTTGTAATTATACATGTAGCATCTCAAAATTCTTGAGATTGTCACAACAAAATGATGAGCCTATGATTAAGGAAAATGCTGTCGAATGTGTGAATTACACAATATCTGAAAATATTCTTAGCCCATATGCAGTATAGAGTGTACTAACACCTTTGCTAGGGATGAATTCCTTGAAATGGAAGAAAGTATGATTAGGATTGAGGCAGACTTTTGCACATGCGGATGATTTCAAGAAGAAACTACACAAGTTCAGTATTGCAAACAAATTTGACTATAAATATGTAAAAAATTCTAATGCCTATATGTATGTCAAATGCAAGGTTGAAGATTGTCCGTAGAGGATCAGTGGGAGAGCAGCTGGAAAGAGCACTCCATTTTTATGTGTAACAACATTAAAAAAATAAGCATGCTCATAATGCCCAAGACAATATTCACGTGATACATGGTGGATCAGCTAGCTTGACATCATAAATTATAATTGAAGAGGTTAGAGATCACATAGACATGCATCCAAATGATATAAGAAAGAGGTTGGAAAGAGATTATGATGTGAAATTGACATACAAGCAAGCGTATAGGGCTAAGGTGAAACATCCTTCCTTTTTTATCCCATTATACAATGATTGGAACACTTTAGGATCATTATACAAGCTTTAAATATGAGAAAATCCCCAAAAATTTGAAACTTTTTCAAATTTCAGTTCAGGTTGTGACTTGGTACCTCCAGGTTGCAACTTGAGGTCATGGAGGCTATTTTTGCTTCCAGGTTGCGACATCAACTTCCCAGGTTGTGACCTGGGGTCGCAGAGAGCTTTCTGTACTGTTCACAGTTCACAGAAATTTTGGTCCAAATTTAAAAACTCGTAACTAATTGTAGAAAAATTGTATTGAGGTAGTTCAAAATTCTATTTGTAGCTCTTTCAGTGCTCTTCAAAGGAAAAAATATTAAATTAGACTTATCTCAAGCCAATTCATATAGTTTAATCCATAAAGATTACTTTTCATTTGGTAAATCCTGGAATTTTCAGATTTCTTGCCTCAATTTTGAAAATTCATATCTCTTAGTATACATATCCAATTGAAGTGATCTACTTCTCATTTTAAAGCTTGGGATGTGTACAATAAGTTTGCCAAATTTCATGGCTTAAATCATTCATTTGATAGGTCAAACTGGAGCTGGAAGTTGACTGTTTCAAGACCTACGTTTCATCCCTTAAACAATTCTTGCTTTAATTTTTTTTATTGTCTTGGCATGCATAACTTGGGTTTTCTCTTTCCCATTCATTCTCATATATTTTCATTCATGTCATAAACATTCTAAACCAATACATTGCATCATTGGTATTTATATATATAATTTATATAATAGGAGAATTATACATTAACCAATAACTTCATTCATTAACATGAATAATTTTCCACTTTCTTCTCCTTCCTTCTCATGTTCTCCTTCATAAAATCATTGTCCATCATACTAGACTTAAATGGTTAGTTAGGGAGGGGTGAGATTCAGGAGAATCTCAATAGCAAACATTATCACATACATGTACAAGATGGATGCTAATGTATGGTATTAATTTTTCATAAACTTAGGTTAACTAGTGACATGCCATCATACTTTATGCGTGGTATAAAAATGCATAGCCATGAAAACATATTAAAAACATCATTTTCAGCAACATATCCCAATGTCATATAGTCAACATATACATAACCAACACATAAGCATACCATATCAAGCACATAAAGAGGTAAGTTTACTACCTTGTATCCTTAAACTTTCTTCTTGCTCTCTTTTGATTCCAACCATTAAGGTTGCTTACTCAACCTTTGTCATTCTTTTTTCTTGATGTCTCATGGGCCTAAATGTATCAACACATCATTTTCATTCATTCATTTGAGCCATGGTAATCAACAACATTAACACTTTGTTTTCTTTGAGCTATATCAACTTCTAACTTTTGAGCTTGATTTTCAACGTTTCTAAAATTAATTTCACATGCTATTCTCATATAATTTTGCATGTAAAATCCATTTCTAAGCTCAAAATTATGTAAGCATAATGTCATCAAATGATATCCATTTTCAAATCAAACTCCTCCCTATTCAAATTGATCTGGCCGAACATAGGCCTTAGGGCTAAAAATTTCATTTTCAATTCCAATGCTTCCAAACTTGTTTTCTCACCTTTACCCCACACAATTTTTCATTTTAAACATATTGAAAGCATCAAAATCATTAAAATCTAATCCTAGCCCCAAAAACTAGTTTTGGCTAAAATGTTACTGAAGTTACATAATCATGAAATTCAACCAATTTCAACATAAAGCCACTTGATTCTTGATCCTTTCAAACCTTTAAATATTATTCTAA